CCAGCAAAAGTTTGCCGACAGTAGAATGAGTGGTGCAAGGGACTGTGAGCATAACACCCTTAATTTTAGTCATTATAGCTGTGGCATGGGAAATAAAAAGACTTAATGTAATTGATAATTCACTACTGTAGAAATTCTACACTAAAAATAATGAGGAAGCACCAGTATTTTCATGAATCTCGGTCCAATATTCTAACGTCCTTCATATACATTACAATGAGACCAATCTAAAAAAAAAAAAAATTAAAAAGAAACGGGTGCCAATAGTAACTGCTGACATTCCACTCAGAAATGCGTTCAATCCTGAGAAAGAAGAAAGTATACGGTGCCTTGTGATTGCTACAAAATATACACAACTGCTCTCATCCTTCCATTCAAACATCTTCCCTGATTTTTTTTTTTTTTTTTAAATATAAACCCACCCTAATGGGACCCTTAGGCTACACAGAAGTGGGCTAATATGTTGGTTTTAACATAAAGAGCCTAACTCTCCCAATTAAAAGTGTCTAACCTTGCTGGAGAGAGATGTTTTCTAGCTATAGCCATGAAGAACCTTCTTGCAACTTGAGTTGAAAAACTTTTGTTTACAGAGACTTGCATGTCTGTCTATACTTACTTCTAAAAACATAGCGAAATAATGCTAAAAGACCCCCAAAACTCTGGAGTTGCTGTTATGAACCTCAAACTGTTCCCTGCAGTCAATCAGCAGCATTAATTGCTGGTTATTTGTACATGGAAATCAAGATGTAGACGCACGCAGAGGCCTTGATTACGCAGACATTTAGCCAGTGGCTTGACTATTGTGAGTAGTTTTTGGAGAAGCAATCAAATTAAGCATCCCATTAAACATCTGATGTAGGTAAATGGGCTCCCAGGTCTTAAAATTTGATCCATCTTGCTTTCCTCCATCTATTAGATTCGTTTGTATTTGTAAAAGTCAATCATGCACTTGCCTTAGTCTTGCCTTAATTCTGTCAACAAATTTAAACACATCACATACAGCACTTTTATGCAGTTCAAATTCAGCTATGAAGCCCCATTATGGTTCCAAGTTAAAATAATTCTGCGTCGCGCCCCGCTACATGGTGGCTCGCCTGGAAGCGATGCCAGTCACCTGGACTGTCCATGAACTGGTCTCTCTTCCAACCCATGTTGTGTCTGTTCCCTTCCGATATGTACTGAGCCAGCCATGTGGCCCGAGGGGATGGGGAATGGGGCTGGGATGTTAGATCACCTCTTACTAACGAGGCAAAAGTCCTTCAGACATGCACGTGTTGCTCCCTGAGTCAGCGCTGCTGACGCCACCTTTGTCGGCAGCTATGGCCGAGCAGGGTTTTGGGGAGAACCCAGCAAAACGCTCGCCAGCCAGGCACAGTTCTCACCTAGCGCCTTCGTTCAGAGCTCAGCATTACTACTATTTCTACTAAATGTCTTTTTTTTTTTTTGGTGGTAGTACGATCTGTACCACTATATTTTCCCACCTCTCAGACAAAATGTGTGGCCTTTCCTGAAGCCGTTCTGATTAGAAACCAGAATAACGTCAGCAGGCTTTTGCTGAAGACCTCCACAATTGGCCCAATCTGCATTGCACCACATGGTACGCCGTCTCCTGAAATCCTCACGTGACCTACACCAATTTGTATTCACGTTATTTTCTTTGAGCCTGAAATTGATTTGTGATGTTCTCTCTGAAGGCTCACCATTTACATAATTTGCCATTATTCCTGCATCACACACTACTCCATGTCGTGGGCTAAATTCTTTGCCATGGAAGCGATCAGGCGTGGGCTTACTTTTAAGCACAAGAGGTCCTATGAGATGTCTCTGCTGTACATGCTGTACTTAAGCATACGCTTATTTACTTTGTTGTGCGATAGCTGATACCCAACATATCTTCTTGGAGCGATTAAGAGTGGACACACAATAACTGCAAAGAGAATTGGGCTTATTGTCTCTACAGATTTGCGCTAATATACCAGTGTCTCAAGACATCACTTCATTTTCATAACAAGAAGGAGATTTAATTCCTGCGGATTTGTGTAAAAAGCAATTTGGAAACTTTGCAACAATGATATTGCTTCCCATAAATGCCAAATTGGTAAAAACATCATAAGAGGCGAACAGCACATTCGCAATATCATTTTTTCTATCTTAAGTACCAGCATTATTCAAAGACATTATACCGCTAAGTATCCAAATAATTCATTCATTTTAAGGATCGAAAGCATAATATTATTTTGCTAAATTAAGCTCTCTCTTTTCCAAATCCCTCTTTTCCACTTAAACTGAGGCAACAAAGGCATCTGAAAATGCACCTGTGCGTGCAGCTTTTATTTTCAGTTTTCAGGGTTTGTTCTGCTCCAGTTGGGGTGTGCATTTGCCTTCTTGCTGAGTACCAAAACACAAAAATAATTGCAATAACAACTGTAATTCCCTTCTTTGCATCATAAAACGAGCCTCAGGTATCATCGTCTCATTCCTACCTTCCACTGCTAGCAGGAAGGAGGAAGTTGGCGATGGAAAACATCGCTTACCTTTAACTTACGGGCACTGCTGTAATACAGTATCTCCGGTTAAGAAGAAATTGTAATAACTGAAAGTGACTATTTAAAATGATAGCAAAGATCAAAAGTTCTGACTATGGTAGGTTGGGGGCACAGACAGCCCGGTTTTAAGCGCACCCTATTAACTGATGAACATCAGGACTTTGTGGTCATCTAACACTCCCTATAAATGAAGACTTGATAACAGTTATTGATCTCAGTTTTCCTGGAAGAGGATCCCTGGGCTCAGCAGTGAGCAGTTTTGCTTCTCTCAGTTCATAAATACAAGAATAGAACTATTGCTCAAATGCCACCCCAACTGCCGAAAATGAAATAAAAGTAACATTTCAGTGCAGTGTGGAAGCGATACAGGTGTATTTCCACAGGGTTTTTGAGCAGATAGCCCAAGGTTAATATAGTCTCAAGTTTCCTTATAAGAAATACAGAATTGCCACAGCTGACCCCTGCCATCATTAGAAAATATTTTCTTAGTGAATGTCTACTCAAACCATAGAAGTACGTAAGTTACTGTTCTTATTTATTTATTGATCTTCTTTGTGTTACCGTGGAACTGGAATACCTCTGAACATTAATGAATTCAGCCTAACAATATACAAGATGGGACCATGAGCATCTCTGCTGCCCAGGCAAGAAGCTGAGGCAGGGAACGGGAAGCGTTGGGTTGTTGCATCCCCAACACAATTGTGTCACAAGAAACAGCTGGAAACAGCTGTTGTCTCTCCTGTCTTACTCTTTTGTCATTCAAAACTTTTCCCTGTTTCCCTTCTTTCTAGATTTTCTCTCTAAAACTCTGCTATTGGCTGGTCAAATCAAAAGCTGTTTTATAAAACCTTCTGTGATGCTGCCAGAAGTGCCTACATCACTGAGAATATATTATCACACAATTTGAACAGAGACAATTAATCCCCTCTCTTTCCATCTCCCCTTCCCCAAAATCAGAAAAACAATCTCTCCATCTCCTGACCCCCAGTTCAGATTAAACCTGGATGTCGAAGAGGAGACCTAGAGAGAGGTGCACGCCCCTTCCAACGTGGATTTAAGGAGAAGCTACACAAGTAGATGAACTGTTGAACTCAGTCCTCTGTCTTAAAAATACATTTCATTGGGATCCTTAATGCATGATATAAGTACCCAAAAGATGTAACAGAATTCTGAAATGAATTAAGGATGTATTGCCATCTCCAGCAAAATAATAAAAGTAGAGAGATTAAGAGGCAAGCATATCTTTTTGAATTGTAAAATAGGTTTATAGGTCTTCTAATAACAACTTTTACTCAAACCTTACATAAATAGGCTTATATGAGACAAATATTATGTGGGCTATGTGGAAACTACAAGGTCCCTAATCATGTTTAGGGATTACTTGACAGAACAGAGACATTTCATTCCTATTGGACCTAGGGATTACAGCAAAGAAACATCTAATATTCCATTTTTAATTTCATGCATTTTTTATTTACCTTTAATGATGCTGTATATATTCATCATCCTGAAATATTAAAACAGTATGAAAAAAGTAATAAATTGGTGGAAAATTTAGGGAATGGGAATGCAACAGCACGCAAATCATACACTATCAAGTGCTTGATACACATTTAAAATAACTGCCTAGTACAGCAAAGCCAAATTCCTGGCAGATTTCTGAAGCGCAAAGTCACAATAAGAAGATCAGCAGAACAGACTGAAATAATAGAATATTCATCCCCCTAATCCATATGCAATTCTTTAGGGCTTTTTTTTAACAATGCATATGAGGTCTGACTGTATTCGGGATTTAAATAAGTTGTCTCTCTCTCTCTCACACACACACATTCACTCAGTATTTTTGTTAAAAAAAAGTATATACAGTTATCATTTCTGCTCTACTGCACCCACATTGACAAGGTTAGCACATCTCCTCACACCTCAGATGAAACAACAGCATTTTAAACAACAAAAGTGTTAAAAGAAATGCATTTATTCATACCATTGAAACCTCCTGCAACAGCTTTGTTGGAAGGAGGGGGTCCAGTTTGCCTGGGAAAGGGATTTTTTTTTCTTTAATTCTTTTTTTTAACTCTTTCCTACTTCATTCTAAGTAATTACTGGTTAATTTAAAGCAATTTCACATTTAGTTATTGGCAATAAAATTTTGAAACCAGTATTAAATCTTTGAGATCATGCATTTCTCTCTAGACAGATGGAATTTTAGATCTACTATTGTGTAAAGGGACAGAGACCTAGAGACGAATAAATCATCACTCAAAAGACAGATGCTGATGATAATAATGATACATGTAGAAAAAGTGCGTGAGGATGGGTGATGGGGAGGTGTAGTATAAAACTTCCGTTGCCATGCATGAGATTACTGAACTACTTTCAAGTAGTGCAAAGCCACAACCGAGTTATAGATGTTCCTCCAAACAGGAGTATGAAGAAATTCATACCATACCATACCATACCATACCATGCAGACATACGAAGCCTGATCTTGAGATCAAGGGGGTTTTACGCAGGTTTAGCTCTATGATTATGCTGCAGAATCTCAACGCCAAAGACGGGTTAGATACGTACCTAAACATAAGACATTTGCAACAGTAATATACACGTGGACTTGCTAAATAAAGGTGCCTATATGTGATAATTACAGTGGCCACATGCAGAAAGCAGCTTTCACAACCATCACAACAGTTCTCGTCACAACTCTGTTAGTGAGGCGAAGGAGCGCTAGGACAGGTGATGGTACATGGAAAGCCATCTGGTAAGTGAGAAAGAGCAGCCACATCCTGTCGAAACCCGAATACCCAAATGGAGCTACATGCTATTTGTAGTAACAGGTCTCATGAGAAATGGCCTGGGGTGTAGATTGCTGCCGAGCATTTACCAGGACTTCGGGTTTCTACCTGGTGAGGGACATGCTGATCCAAGCCCCTTCAAATCATGCTCGTGTTATTAGCCAAACTGTAATATCAGTTGACATTGCTATTCAAACTGCAAGGTCACTGTTTTAATTTGACACAGACTAAACAGGCAATGTAAAACATATTTAATGAAAGATTTTCTTTTTGGTAAGGAACCTGCTTTTCTTTGGTAAGAACCTGCTGTGATTTATGCAGCCATGATACCAGTACCTACCCATATTGTGGTGCCTGTCTACTGACGCAGAGTCCAAGCTTACTGGTGCTTATTGCTTACAGGTATCTAATTATTATTGATAGATAGAGGAAAAAAAAAAATCATAACCATACTGAAATCAG